TGTTTTGCATTGCCTCACATGCATTCCTCATGCTCATGGTCACCGGAACATTTCTTCGTGACGCTCTTGAGAAGCACAGGATGATTTGACAACCAACCAGTAGGCTTTTTGATGAGAAGCCCTTGTTTTCCTCGCAAACCATAGCAGCACATGTGGCCAAAATCATAGCAGAGATTGTGCCTTTGCTGCAATCTTTGCACCGCAGACTGATCCCATAGAGCTCCAAGATGTGGGTTTTCCAGCAAAAAGTAGCGCTCGTCCTGAATGGTGTCCTCGACAAGCTTGGCAATCTCTTCAATGGTCATCTGAGCATCCTGTCGAAGTTGTGCCAACTCTTCCGGTCGCCAGTGATAGTTCAAATTGGTCAGAGGTGACCAGAGTCGACATTCTGGCTCGATCAAAGTCAAGAAGGGTAACCACTGTCGCAACATCGAGCGAAGCCATTGATGATCCTTCTTGGTCTGGAGGTTGATGCCATGGATCTTGTCAATGGGTTGCAATGCACGAAGTCCGCATTCAAGGGCACGTGCGGTCACATTGGCATGGCCACCATAGATCTCCACAAGGTCAACTTTGTGCCGCCGCAATTTCCGATTGCAATGCACAATGTTGTTATAGATTGAGTGCTCCACCATCCAAACATGTCGAAGGGCTCGAACTGAACCAAGAAGGCGCTTCTGCTTGCCAGGTTTCATCAGAGAAAAACCACGATCCTCATAGGTCAAAGGCTCATCTGCTGACCCAAAAAGGCTGGGTCGCAAGCTCATGTGTCCATCCCCTCGTCGTCGAAGGTCTGCTCCAAGCCCTCCACTTCCTCCGCAAAGTCTGGGCTCTCCCATTGATATTCCACCTGCTCCCAAGTCTCCGTGGGAGGTTGATCCCGTTGCCATGTCCAGCCGCCATCCAGATTCATCGGCAAAGTCGGTGATGCCTTTGACATAGTCAGCATCAAGCGCTGTTGAATCTGGCTCTCCATTTCCTGCAGCAGCTCTGGAGTCAAGGTCGAGTTCTGAGACCGAGGTGGTGCCGAGAAGGAGGCCTGAGATAAAGGCAAGGAGGGTTCCCAACCAGAAGACAATGGTCCTGAGGTGTCCGTTCGACTTTTGGCTTTTGCTTTCCCTTTGGCTTTTGGAACGCCCAGTGGTGTCTTTGCATGAGGTGATGCCTTGGGTTGAATTGGCTTGAGCAGTCCATCCTTCAGAATTGCCCGATACCCGCAAAGGTCGCATATCTTGATTGAGTGCCCTGCTGCTCCGTAAGCTCGGAGACCGCTTGGATGGCGACAATTCTCTGGTGTTGTCTGGTACTTGTCGAGGTTCAAAGAAGACTGAACCGTCATGGCAGCCATTGTTGACTGCATCGTTGTCGCCATTGAGGGAAGCATGAAATGACGAAGAATTCCATCTCTCACACTGTGCCTCAGGCTGGTTGCCGCATACAGCAGCACTGACTTGTGCACCTGATCGATGAAGATCAGCAGCCGGCTCATCACATGGTGCCATCTCCGCAGCCATGAAGGAGGTGAGCGTTGCATTTGGAGGGCTGTTGGCTGGATGCTTTGCGCTCGGCAGCTCTTGAGCCCGAACTGGAACTGCAGAAGGTGCCCAAACATCAGGTAGATGTTCAGTGTTGACATTCATGTCACAAGGCCACTTTGGCATCTTCGAAGGCCATTCATCCAAACGCACTGCAAGGTGTCCACAACTGCTGAGATACAGTGGAGAGGAAACATTCAAAGCTCTATAGTGGATTTGACCCCCGGAGATATCAGGTACTGCATCTAGTGTTGTCAAAGCTTGTCGTGACATCAAAGCTGGTGCATCCGCATCTACGCATGAGAAAAACATAACCACAAAATGATTGCCGAGTCCTGATGGATACGCAAAACGTTGAGTGGAGCTTGAACTCATACTTGGTCCAAAACGAAACTGGCACTTCTCTTTGAACGCAACCCTCGGAAGTTCGAGATGTCTCGCATGAGTCTCATGCCATGCTTTGCCAGCTACCTGTCTTTGACAGCCTGTGTCGACTATCACCAAACAAGGCTCATCTGAGTATTGCACTAAAAGTTGTGGTGTCCTCAGCAAAGGTGCTTCGGCCACTGAAAATTCGGGCGGCTCACATGTGCTTGAAGAAGATGACACAGTAAGCACTGAGTTCTCACCAGTTTCATCACCAGCTTCGCCACTCTTTCGGCGCCAAACTCGCCGTCCATGTCTTCCATGTTGAGTCCAGTGACGTCCATCTCTTCCATGCTGGTGCACATGGCGATCATGCGGAAACTGTTGCTGGTCATCTCTTCCATGTTGATGCAAGGAGCGGTCATTTGCAGAAACTTCCATGGGCATGTTGCTACTGCCAGACGCCCCGGGAGCCTGAGAGGCTAACATACCAACCGAACCAACAACAACACTACCAACAGAATCAACAAATTTCTCAACAGATTGGTGGCCCTCTGGCTCTTGGCTCTTTGGCTCTTGTTCTGTTCTTGAGGTCCTTGGGTCCTCACCCCATTGTTGATTTGTTTTTGAGGTCCTTGGGTCCTCGCCCCAATTTTGATTTGTTCTTGAGGTACTTGGGTCCTCTCCCCGTTGATTCATTCTTGAGGTCCTTGGGTCCTCACCCCATTCAGCTACAGCTAGTGCCCTTTGGATGTCTGGGTCATTCCAATCGGGCATGAGCAAATCTAAAGCGAGCTCCTGTACAGCTACTTGTTCGGCTACATCATCTGGATTCAAGTCGCCAGCATCGGAACTGGCGCAAAGGGAAATTGGTCTTTGCGTCCAAGTTCCCGGAAAAATCCCCAGAAAGGAAGATGATCCTATGAAATCGGTCTGAACTGCTACTGAAGCTACACATGGCTGATCTGTCTGCACGGCTACTGAATTGATGTCTTGGTGAAAACCTACACTGCCGCCATCTACAATCCTACGATACTCATCTGAAAGAAGTTCATCGGCCGTTCGAGCATCCCTGAAATCATCTGGATTGCCATCTTCCGAACCAGGAGGCGGTGAATAGCAAGCCCACATTGCATTGAGCTCAGACTGCGTTGGACTCCGAAGCTCAGGAGGTTCTGCATCTGGCTCAACTGTCATCTCGTCGTGGTTCACCATCCAAATAACCATGCCATCGCCATCCAAAGTAGTGGAAGCACCACAAATGTGAGCTTGATGGGAAGTCATATGAGGGCAGTCGCGCAACCAGTGATCTGATGCACCACACCCAATACACTGACTCGCGTCCAGTCGCTGCTTTTGAACAGGGGTCAACTGACTACCAAAGCCCTTGCTAGAACCCTTACTACCCTTTGACTTTCCCTTCGAACTTGTATTTACACCTGACTTACCAGATGAGTTAGTTTGGAAACTCACAGTTTTCTTTCCAGAACCCTTGTCCTTAGATTTGCCTTTGCCGGGAGAGGTGCCCTTGCTGGACTTGCCCTTAGCATTCACATTGTAGTAGCCTCGAGATTGCGTGGCAGCTGCAAGGCGCTTGCTCGTCGCAGTCAAGGCTTGATGATCATCAGGAAGGTCATGGGCACCATCTTCGGCACTTCCAGCAGCATGAGAGGCACCTGGCTCAGCATCGTCCTGCTGATTGTCCTCCTCTTCATCATACTGGTATTCGAATTCATCCTCATCTTCATGCCACTGTTCATCAGCGGCATCTTCATTTGCGGTGACATAGTTTTCATGTTGTTCTTCAACCCCTTCGTCAACTGCATCGACATCAGTGTGCCAAGTACGCCACTTTGCAGAACCACCTTTCGAAGTTCCGCGTCCTCTGAAAGAACTCACACTGCTTGCCCGGCCGCGAGATCGTGAGGACACACTTGATGACATAGATTTGGAAAAACCAGACAGAGACATGCCGCTTCGAGCCAAACCAGTCAAGGTCAAACCTGCCGGATACTGAACACGAATCGCGTCAACCAAGGCCTGGAAGTCATAGCGATTGCCTGCTGCCAGCAAAAGCTGTGAAGTTGCACGCTCATCAAGTCTCAAGCCATCCAAAAGTTTCACAGCACGAGTTTCACTGGGGTATTGTGGAATCTTTGCATCCTGGAGCTTCCTCTCCATCAGCCTGAAGCGCCTGACAAAGGCGGTCACTGATTCGCCTTGAACACGAACCATAGACTCAAACTCGCGAATCAAGCCCCCTTTGCGAAAGATCTCCTTCTCTCCGAAGGAAACTCCCAGGTCCTGCAGCAAAGTTTCAATGCCAGTAGAGGTGTTGTACCTGTCATCATCGATCTCCTCAAACTCCAAGGCGGCATCGCCTGAGAGAGCGTCCAAGGCTCGCAAAGCCTGCTCATTCGGAGGCAAGTACTCCTTGGTGATGGTCACCCATCTACGAAGAGCTCTGGAGTAATGTCGAAGGCAGAAAGGATCATTCTCAATGTCACCTGAAAAACTCGGCGGTGCAGGAATATGGCCTGACCGCCACTTCTTGGGCTGTTGTTGCCCCGAACCCCGGCGACCACGGCGCCTTCTCGAAGAAGTCTGGGAGAGTGAGCCATCCATTGAAAGTCTCGAACCTCCACTGCCATTGTCTTTGGGATCAAGAGCGAAGTCATATGTCTCGCTGAGGTCTGCGACTGAAGCATCATCTGCAAAGTCTGCATGGCCTGGCACCTCTGCGCCGATGTCGCCATAGAGCTCGTCGAACATCGTCTGCAAAGGGCGCGTCAGTGCACGAGCAACAAACTGACGCTACCAATGAGATAATGGAGCCTGGGGGCCCTGGATCACAACTCGCACAAGCTGAAGCCCTTTTCAGACCACCATTGCATGAAGTGCACGTTTCCCACCCTTTAAGCCAAGCAGCGAGTGAATGCCAAATGGATGAGGATCAAACAGATGAAACAGCAACTGATTTCACTGATTTGTCACTAGATATTTCTAGATGTACATTCAAAATCATTCAAATAAGTTTCCTAAGCTGCAACACGAACGATGCAACGTGCATAAGAACTGCCCAAGCTTGCGCCCAGGCACTGCTACGTAATGCAGCAGAGCCAAAGCGCGGTCGGGAGACAGAGTCGCTAAGGCCTGCGTCGCATTGCGTCGCAGGTCTCTTCGAAACGTGACACTCAAATCACTTACACAGTAACTTACAGCAACTTACACATGATTTGACAGATGTGAATTTCAACTTTATGTGGCTGTCACTTCGTGTGACTGTCATCTCAATCTCTAATTAATCATGATATCATCATGGGAGTAATTAGGGAGATATTGGGAGTATTTCCTTCGTAGAAATTCCTCTAGCTGCTGGACTTTTAGCACATGCTGACTCGCACGACTTGCTCAACACTCCGATCCAAAGTGTTTGTGCCTGGGTAGCGACCTGATCTAGTTCTATCCGGGCCTCCACATTTTGTCATGGAATGCAAGTGACCCCAGCAGAACCAACATGAACCCAATGCAATGTCACATGTCTAATCTTTCCAGCAAAAAAATCGATCAATGTTGGTTTTGTCAGGTCATGTTTCTGTGAACAGGACCTTGTGGTTTGGACATGTGTGGACTCCAAAGTCAAAGTGGTCCAGACTCAGTCCAAGTCGGAGCCAACAAACCATGACTCTTGCCACTAAAAAACAATGACTTGGCCCAGACCTTTTGCAGCTTAGTGATCACCTGTCACCCAAGCTCTTCGATATTTTTGCATGTCAACTTCATCAAATTGCAGATTTTCACAGCTTTGATTCATGTTGCAAAGTTTCACTAACAACCTCCGGCCTCCTCAATTTCCTCGGCCGTCAGCAAACCCTGACAAGTTGCCAAGCATATACAGGGACTTGTCAAGTAGATTTTGCTGTATTTTGACATCATATGCCGTAACTTGGTTCCATATATTAACACGGACTTTTGATTGTTTGTAAAAAAGGTAGACCCAGGCAAAAATAATAAAACAAATCGATACATGTGAAATCATAATTATTAAAACAATATAAAACAATTATATAAAATCAATATCATAATAGTAATTTATGATATGTTCTTTATCAGCATATGTTTTCTAGAGATGTTTCTTGTTCTTCACTGAACTCCTTCTCGGCCCATCTTGGCCTTCGCCTTCTCCGGCAATTCCGGAGTTGGCCTTGGCCATTGTGACAACATGTCTGGGTCCCATGGGGTCCCTAAGAGATCCTAAAAATGTCGATAGTATGATAGTAATAGTAATACGATAGTCACATTCTTCCCTTGCGCAGTTCCCACAGTTTTCCTTTCTAGTTACATCTAGTTACTAGTTTTTCTCTCCCTGGTTGGGTGGAACTGGTCTGAACTGGTACCCAACTGGAATGGAAAGATCCATTTGTATCGGTGGAGCGGCAGGTTATCCAATGTGAGCGTCGTCTTTCACTGCACTGAGCACCCTGCTGAGGTGTCTTTACCTGTCAAAAGCAGACCCTGAAACCGGCTGCATTTGTTAGCATGGCTTCACGAAACGTTCACGAAACTGCAAAAGCTGAAAGAACTTTGGACTTCTCCGAAATTTAACCAACGATCAATCTTTTAGCTTCAGCCTTTGGTGGCGGTGGCGGAGGCAAAGACTGCTGCCAAGGTGGAACAACCTCTGAACCAAGCTGACTTGTGGTAGAGGCACACAGCTGTGTCCAAAGAATGTTTCTTGGAAGGCTTCAGACCTTTGATTCTGTAGCTCATTTGTACAATGTCAAACAAACCCAGTGATGTTCAACTTTTAAGATCTGTTAAGTAGATTTAAGTAGCACCTGTTGAGCAATAACTGCGACGAGTTGCTGCTTTCACTGGCTCTGGAATCGTTGGAACCGCTGGAGTCCCATTGCTTATGACCTCTGCTGGCGAAGGTGTCACGCTTTGCCCTGACTCCCGTGGAGCGGCAGGTTGCAGGGCTGGTGCTTGGGCTGTTGATGGTGGGGCTGTTTGTGGCAATTGTTGTGATGCAACTTGTGCTTGTTGCGCTTGTTGCGCTGGCTGTGCTTGTTGTGTGGCAACTTGTGGTTGTTGTAATTGTTGTGCCGCTTGTTGTGCCGCAAGTTGCGCTTGTTGTGTAGCGACTGGCGCTTGTTGTGCTTGTGCTGGGGCGGTTGATACTGGTGGCGGGGCCATGTGCATCGATGCTTGTGGCATTGGCTGGGCAGGAACTTGCGATTGTTGTGCTGCTTGGGCCAATGATACTGGTGCCGGTGGAGCTGCTTGCAGCGCTTGTGGTGCCTGCCCTGCAACTTGCGCTTGTTGCGCTTGTTGCGCTTGTGGGGCCACTGGTGGTGGCGGCGGTGGCACTGCACCGTTCACTGGGGTGTCTTTCGGTGGCGCTTCTGGCATCGGTTTTTCTGAGATCTCCGGTGGTGGCGGCTGACTTGGCTGCGAGCTTGCCGGATCTGCCACCTAGAAACAAGAGACGGAAAGGACACGAGAAAAGCATAGAAAAGCAAGAGCAAAATAGAAAAAAAAGATTCCGGAACCACCATCCAATAGCAAATACTACTGCAAACACGACTCTAAGCACGACTGTATCTTAACTACAGTGAAAGCTATTGCAAGCTGAATAGTCTGGCACGATGAAATCACAGGATTGGCTGCCAGAAAGTTCAAAGGATCGTCCATTCTGCAATATATCATATCATATATATATATTTATATATATATACAGTATATATAGTTCTCAAAGTCCCAACATGCGTTTCACAGTTCAAACTTCCGCACCCCAAAGCATCTAATGCCACACACTGCACTTGGATCCACATGGGATCCACATGGGATCCACATGGGATCCACATGGGATCCACATGGTGCCTGCGCATCCAATGCCTTGATCAACGCTTCATCCACGGACTTCGGCTTCGCGTCAGCCGGCGCCGGCGCAGCCGCAGCCGGCGGCGCAGCGGGCTCTGGCTCCGTGGATGCCGTGGATGGCAGTGCGAGTTGCCCGGGGATCACGGTGTCTGACTGCGGCATCGGCCATGGCGCCTCAGCATCCACCCTGCACCCAAATCTGGACATATCACATATAAGACATGTTCTATCATTTTAGTGGACTTGCAGCTCCTGGTGTGAGACAAACCAAGTCATCACAAGAGGCACATTGTGTCACACTGTTACTAAACGAGATCATACAGAGTTGCATCAACATCGACAAGATCCGACAAACTCACGCTAGGAGATATCATCGACTCCAAAATTCCATTCACGAAACATAAGCAAAGTCTGCCTGCATCTGCTGCATGATCTGCATTGTGTTGGCCTGCGTTCATTGGATCGTTTGCTGAATTTAGATGGATGCAATTGGATGCATTATATAACCCCCCCCATAACAGCATCAATGATAGCCGTGAACGTAGGCGTCGTTGGTGGTGGAAAAGCTCTCAGCAGAAAAGAATGTTCCGCCCTGTTTCATGTTTGTTCAATATGTGAACCAATTTCTCTCAAGTTGATAATGATAGCAAACAGAGGTCCAAACAAGGTTTGCCAATTCGACACCTTACAGTAATCGTCCGAAGACTGGAACGAAAACTGCATGGAAGTGCTTGGAAACCCTTAGCGCCTGCGCCATTTGTTGCATTTGCATTTGCTCCAATTGCTGTTGCTGCAACTGCTGCTGCTGCAACTGAATCTGTTGCATTTGCTGCTGTTGCTGCAAATGCTGCTGCATCTGCTGCTGCTGCATCTGTTGCTGCAATTGCTGCTGCATCTGCTGTTGGTGCATCTGCTGCATTTGCATTTGCTGGCACTGATTCGCCTAGCAGCAAACAAGTTCCAAAATGTTCCAAACTGTGTCGTGGGCAGTCCCTACTCACAGGCAGCTGTCTTTCCAGCCACAATCGACCTGCATAGGTGCGCCGTGCATTTGACCTCGCCACGGCTTTTTCGATTGTGGGACGTGGCCAAAGTCAACCACTTGGGCTGCAGGGTCATATGACTGAGTCACACAGACATCATCTTAAAAGCATCGAAAAACTCTATTCATGGATTTCAAATCAAGTTCAAAAACTCCAATTTCTGGCGACTCAGCAATGAAGTGCATTTCTCAAATTTCACCACAACATTCTGAATTTCCCCATCCAACACCCAACAGCGGGCCAAGCGTCTCATGGGTTGCATGCCCATCGGGGCCATCTGCCCGCCCATTTGGCCCATCGGGGCCATCGGGCGGCCCATTGGAGCCATGGGGCCCATACTCGCCTGGTCTTGAAATGTTCTAAATTCCAAAGTGTGCAATCCTTTTCAACATTCAACATACTAATTACAGTATATAAAGTATATAACATTATATAAGCCATATGAATCCATATATGAATCCATATGAATCCATATCAACTCTCTACATCGTCACTTCCTCCGTGTTCCATGTGCAATCAGCCCTGTTCAGCAGCCACGAAATTGAGAGCACTGGCCATCTGGGGCGCGTATCCCTGCATGCCAGGCATGCCGGGCATGCCATAGCCTGTTCAAGCTTGTTCAATTGGCAAAGATTACTAGACGACCTTTCAACGTTTTCTCGCTTTTTCCCCATGGTACCCCACAGCCAGTGGATGTAGCGACACGCTTCAGACGCTTCACAACACCAGAACTCACAGGAAGTCAAGCGCATTCAAGTGCCACAGGTGTGCCACAAAGTCAAATTCCGTCTTGGTCTAGAAAAGGTTTCGTCGGGCCTTGAGGTGCAGCAAAGCCCTGCATTGTGGGCAGCCTTAGCACTGCATCTCATCCAGCAACTCAAGAGCTCAACATCGAGAGCTACATCGAGCTTCATTGTGACATTATGTAACGTTATGTATAAAAGTTTCATCACGTCTAAAAAAACATGGTGTATGAGTGTCTTCCATCCAGAATATTCCAGAATCCGGCACAAGAGCAGTCATGAAATGATGACTATCTGACATGGCCATCAGGTATCTGAGATATCTGGCACATTCTGGTACTACAATGCCATAGATCAAAATCTTGAGGTACGGGAAACATTGGGAAACTAATTAGTCCTGAAATGTCCTGAACCATAATATGGTTGGCGCATGTTAGCACTGGTCAAGGTTCATCAACCTTCATCCCTTCGTGAAAGCACCATTTCTTTCATCCCCTGCCCTACCATTCTGTGACACCCGACGCTGCGTGGCCGCCATCCACGACCAAGCAGATTTCGAAGCGTTGGTGCAAAAATGCAAACGTACAAAATCAAGACGTATGGTGGAAATTAGTGAGAATTAGTGGGACTGGAAGTTGGATGTAATGGAATTTCCAAGAACTGTACAACCATTGTCATACCATTGTCATACCCTCCTTGGGTAAGCTCAAGCGATTGAACCATCTGCAACAAGATCTAATTTTGATTTGAAGAAAGTTGAAGTATCTGTTATTGGTCTTTGTCCAGCTTGCCAGCAAATTATCTTCAGTGCCAGTCCTGTGATGTCCTGTGGCTGGTGGCACCATGATCCCATGGCACATTGAGCCAGCTTCACATCCCAAGATGGATCAGATGGTTGATCCAAAAATCTTCCCCATTCCACCGGTGACTTTCAAGGCAACGAACATTTCTCTAGTCCCCGTTCATCCCGTTCCAAGTTTGCAGCTGGAGAAGTGCCAACATCGGAATCTCAACGGCCAAGTGCGGTTCTCAAGGGCAAAAATTCTTGGAGTTGTCACTGCTGTGTGGATCTTAGAAGCCATTCAGCTGGCTGCGACAGGTCAGCGATCGGAGCAAATGGCGATCTCATGATACCCCCCACGCAGCTTCATGTAGCAAGCGCATCTTTGACCACCATTTTTTTTTTGCGCGGTCAATCCTGGCAGCTCGCAATGAGACGGTTTCCTTCGGAAACCGATGTACTGTGAGACGCTAGCTGGCGTTATTGCCCATCCCCACATGAGTCAGGTGTGAACCTTGGTTCAGTGGGTACTGAAACCGGCAGAAACTGAGCCGATTTTGATGAACCAGTTTCGGAGCAAATCTTTTGCACCTCATCCTAACCAGGACGAGGCCCGGTTCATTAGGTTGCCAACTTCATTGGTCAGCTGACGCGCTCTGTCACTATTCATAATGTCTTTGACTTTATCTGTCACCCCTTGAACCTGGTCGGAGTTGACAAAATCCCTCACCTGGTCACTCCCTGCCTCCACATAGTCTGAGACTGTAGAAGCCACTTGCATCACGGACTCAGCTACTTGTGGATGGTCGTCCAACAAGGAATATCCAAGGCTGATGAACTCATTGACGACGTCAGTGGTTTGAGCGTAAATGTTCTCACGTATGGTGTCCGCCGCGTTGGTAGCTCCAACCTCGGTGATAAATGACATGCGGCTGATCTCGAGCTTTTTGCACCACAGCTGCCCGGCAGGAGTGAACGCATAGAGGGCAAACCGTTTGTAGTCGGTGGATTCGCAAGAGAGATAGATCCTGAAGGGCCCAGATGAAGCTTTCACGGTACACCAGGCATGTCGTTTATAAAAGCGCGTCTTGCAAATTCTCCTGCCATCAGAACCGTGGACCTGGAGATAGGCATCAGCATACTTGGTGTCTTTGTAGTGTTTTTTATCTGACTTTCTTGTGTACCACTCTCTCGCCTTTTTCTGGTTCTCGCGGAACACGGCAATGGTGATTCGAGCCTTGCTTTGGACTGCGACATCAGATACTTTGAGTTCATACTTGAAGGTATCTTCACACCTCATGTCCACATCCTTCTTTCGGAAGTAGCCTTCCTTCCCCGATGGTTTGTGAACTCCATACAGCCATGAGCCCGCAGGATTTCTGCTGATCTCAAGTTTTTCGCCTCGCTTGAAGCTGATCTCATCATCCTCACAGGCGCGGTAGTTGTTCCTTGCCAGGGCCTGGAAGGGCGGCGCCTTACCGAAACAGCCGTACTGAGCAACGCATTGCCAAGTTGGTCCGAATGTGATGTTGTAATTCACGCGTTCGGCAAGTTGCACAAAGTCTTTGTCTTCCATCCAAAAGGCCCCATCCAAATGCTTTCTGTCCTGACGAACCAACAAATGACTAAATTTAAAATAACAATCATCATCATCATCATCATCCCAGTCGGTTAGGGGTGATTCTCATTCTGTGTTTCACTTGAAGAATCTTCTAGGGACTCGTTGAATGGTCTCCAACCTGTCCTTCCTTATACCAAACTCCTCTCTGGCTTCGCGAGTCCACTCAGGTGACTTGTCGCTCCACGGACCCGTCCATTCCTCGGAATTGGTTTCGTTTCGTCTGTTTCATCGACAAAAAGAGCAAAGCCCCATGGTTTGGGGCAGAAGGCCTAGCGCAACAATGCAAGGGGGCAGACGATCTATGGACAAGTATGCCAAAAAAGAGAACGACACTTTCCAGAGGCAGAGAGCCCTCAGACTTCCCAAGTATTCCTGTGACATCAGGATGTCAACAGGGGACAGATACAGTGCCGCAAGAAAATGCCCTTCTAGGCCACCGCAGTCATGCTATGCATCTTGTACCTGGCTATACATTCGGATCGTATCAATCCATCCCTACCTGTTCGTTGACCTATTGAGTTGCCTTGAAAACCGTCTGCGCAACTAAGGTCTTGCCGAATTGATCTGTAAGATCTGTAAGACCTTATGGCAAAAGACGTGAGGCTGGAAACAAACCTGACTTTGAAGGAAACAGAGTTTTGTAAGGAGATCATGTTGACAGTCAAAAGATGGTCAATTCAGCCAGGATTCCCCGCTGGCCCAGGGATTGCGAATACAAAGTAAGTGATGTCCATCTACCTCACCTGTTCGCAGCAATGTGTAGGCGTGACCATCATGAAGTCCATATGCCATACCCTGTTCACCACACTGACCTTCCCCTTCTCCCATATTTGCATACTTTCCCTTGCTGGGTGGTTCGAAGCTGTTTGTCAGAACCTCGCCGTCTTCAAGAGCCTCATGAATCGTCTTCCAATACCTTCTGGCTTCTGAGAGCTTTGTGGGGTAATATTTTCCCGACACGCCACCCAGAAAGGAGAAAATCGACTCTACAGAATGTCCGCCATCGCACATCTCAAGGCAGGTCATGTGCTTGAAGTACGCTTTTTCGATAATTGACACCCAAAGCTCACTGACTCTGGTTGCACTTCGTGCAAAATGCCAATACTCGTTTTCGTTCACTCCTACAAAATCATCTATGATTTCGTAGGTGAAATGCATCTCCTCGCAGAACATGACACCATAGACACCAACGTCCATATCATAGGCAACCAAAGCTTGTCTTAAGAAAGACTTTCGGCTGGCAGCCATTGCTGCCAGGGCTGCAACAAAGAAGCAATCACCTATGTGACCCTGCTTAACATCTGAGAAGTCACAACGATCATGCCTCAGATGCTTTCACCAAGTGTCAACACTTCGACTCAGAGGAATCAGCAACTCTCAGTTGGAAATCAAAATCCCACTTAATTATATATATATTATATATTGCGGAACATAGATACAAGGAGCCGTACATTACTAACGAAAACAGACATGTAATGAATCAAAAATGAATGAATGAACAAGTAAACAAATAATTGTGTATATATAGATAGACAGTACACACATACAAACATCTTTGCGAAAATGCTTCGCCACCAAGCTTCACAAGTACTGGGTGTCTACCAGTTTTGATGTCCGGCGCTCTCTTCCAGCCACCCTCCGGATATCGGACAGTACAATCCCAGCCCGGCTTCTTTTTATCCACATACAGCACCTCTCAGAGAACAAGCAATTCAGGCAATTGGATAAGCGACTGAATCCATTTGCCAATTTGAAAGCGACCAAAAAAAAGATGGGACCCCTGCCGCCCCTGCCTTGTTTTCATTTTCCAAAGGATTGAAGTCGGGGTCTTCATATTTCTTACCATCAGCCTTGCACTGGTCAATGATCTCCTGTACTTCACGCTGGCAATTCTCTCGTGCCCTCTGCCACGATGCCACAGCACTCAACGACTCGGACGACTGAGAGGTCTCTTGCACAGCCTGAACCGGGGTGCGTGGAGATCGTGGAGATGTGGGGACCTTTGAGATGAAATCTGCAAAAATTGATCCAAAATGATCCAAATACTTGGAATATCTTGGAATATCTTGGAATGGTTATGACTTAAGTAGCACTCGGTTCATCCATTTCATGACCTGGTTCGACGCCAAGGAGCATTCACCAACTCTTCGCCGGACATCTCAGAGAGTACCTTCTTTTCGAGGGCAGAAAGCTTTGCCTTTGGGAATTCCTCTGCTGCTTTTTCGAGTGATCTGGCGTTGTACAAAATCTCAAAGACCAAGCCGTCCAAGCCCGTTTTCCGGGCCAACTCGCGCTCAAGCTCCACTTCTTCGGATGGGGTATCCAGGTCTATCAGGGCCACGTGACCCTGCTTCACACTCCCAATGCAAGGACAAAGTTCCTTAACACCTGCTGTTCCACCCATGCCGTTGAGCTCACAGGCCAGGTCCTTTAGCTTCAGAACTTCACCATTGCCTTCAATCTCCTGAAAACGCAGTAACTGTTGATACCTACATCTTCCATGTGGTACTTTTTTCCGCCGTTGCTCCAAAAGGCAGAAATTTTAGTAGTTCTTGTAAAGAAAAGTTTTTTTGCAAAAAAAACGCCGTTGTAAAAAATGTCTCTCCATGTGGTCGGGTAATGTCGCCGTTGGGTCGGGTAATGTCGCCGTTTGGTCGGGCAATGTCGCCGTTGCAAAATCATATATTTAACATTATTTGGAAAATCTCAAAAAACGCCGTTCCGCAAAAAAAAGGTTGTTCTTTCGGAAAACCTATTTTTCGAGCAAAAGGCATAAATTTAGCACCATTTTGAAGATGCAGGTATCTGTTGATCTCAATTGGAAACAACGCTTCGATTGGCACCGCGCGTCGTCGCGGCCCTTTTTTCAAGACTACAGCCAGTCACTATCATTGGCAAAATCAAGAAACATGCCTGGTGCGTGACCCAGGTGGTTCACTCTGGCTTTTCTGTACTCGCCCAGGGCATGAATGGGTTCCATTCCAGCCAGCGTAGCATCCACTTCGGGCGCAACTGCACATGAACGTTAGCATCCCAGCCCCACCCCACCCCATATAGCGTAGCATCCACTTCGGGCGCAACTGCACATGAACGTTAGCATCCCAGCCCCACCCCACCCCATATAGCGTAGCATCCACTTCGGGCGCAACTGCACATGAACGTTAGCATCCCAGCCCCACCCCACCCCATATAGCGTAGCATCCACTTCGGGCGCAACTGCACATGAACGTTAGCATCCCAGCCCCACCCCACCCCATATAGCGTAGCATCCACTTCGGGCGCAACTGCACATGAACGTTAGCATCCCAGCCCTACCCCACCCAGCCAACCCAAAAAATGTGTCTTGTTACAGGAGGAAAAGCGCGTAAAATCGTCATTGCAGGGAGGGAGAGGTACAAAAAAGCGCGCGGCGACACCCAATCGGAGGGAACAACAAATCAGATATTCCAGAGTTTGTAAATGTTTGTAAAGGGGTGAACCCCTTTGCACATAGCCCCGTGATCGATCGTGATCGCTTTGTTAGCAACGTGGCTCCTGGGTTACTGCCTCAAAGCTCGTGAGCGCAGCTGCCCGGGGCACGCCCACTGACAGCATGGCAGTTGCCCATTCAACCCTGGACACTTCGGTGTCTCCATCAATGCCCACCGCAGATTCCGAAGGCACAACAGACTTCTTTGGCCTGCAAGGGACTACTAAGAAAAATAAATTAAATGTTAAAACAAAAAAGCTAGACATCCACCAAATAAAGAAAAAGAACTCTTCAACTTGGGAGGCGTGTCTATGGGCTGTGACAGATGATAGTAGCGGTTCTGAAGTGTTGTGAACTTGGCCGACGTGATATGTCATTCATCAAGCAGAGCTCTACAGTAGTTTGGTTCATACTTACTCATATTCACCCCGTCCCAATCCTGTCTTCGGGCAGACCCTTCATTTCGGAGCGGTCGTCATCATCAGAATCATACTCTCGCTCTTCTTCTTCTTCTTGACCCGCAAAACCCAAGAAGGCATCCAAACCAAAACCATCCGCCAAAATCATCTTGGCAGCAGAACTGGCATCTGAGAACACGTAGTCGATAAACTCACCTGGGAACAATTTGGTTTTGGATGGTTTTGGGCCCTGTGAAAAGTCTTCTTGTCGCTTGGAAATGCCCATGTTTGGAAATTGATGATCTAAGCCTAGTCAAATAAAAAACTTATCAAACCACCAGCCAGTCACTGACTGTCAGTTTTCCATTGTCGTCTTTGTCCAAAGCCACGAAGAGCTTCTTACACTCCTCGGGGGCCAAACCATTTTCACTACCTCCCAGCTGTCCAAGCACATGGACAAACTCTTCTTCCGACAGCTTACCGTCTCCATTTTTGTCAAAGCGCTTGAAGGCTCGTTTCAGCTGATCTGCTCCATCTGCATCAAAGTTCAATGCCTTCAAGGAGGGGCAAAAAATTGCAAAGAACATGAATGCAAACAGAAAGCTGCCAGGACGATTGCCTACTTCCACAGTAAAAAAAAGATTCGGCGAAGCCTGCAGAAAGAGAGGATCCATAGAATACCTTCCCTTTGGCCAGTTCACATAGAGCTTGTTGCCAGAATCCTCTTTGTATTTGACTCCCATGATTATACCAATGTCGCCCTCTGGTATGTCATCGTCAGAGTTGGTCCACTGCACACGATCTCCTTTTTGAAATCCACAAGTCCGAATCTCGTTCATCCTCATACTCCAATGTCCTGACAAAAAACTCTACAACTGACTACAACTCTTCGTACACTACAACTGTGAGCAGCCCATTTCTTGAAACACGCGTTCAAAACCTTCATGAAACCTGCGCCCAGGCGCCCAGCCAAAAAAAACAGAGATTGGCTGTTGTCACTTCATGTCACTTCAGTCCTTTGGGCCACTGGATCGATAGTTTGCCATCGTCCAGACGAATCACTTCACCAATGTCTCCTTTTGGGATGTCCTCATCCTCCTGACTCCAAAGCACCAGAGATCCTGGGGCCGTTGAAATAACAGGATATAACAGGCCACCAGAAAGGCATAGAAAGGCATACTTGATGGTTTGCAAAGTTTGCTGACCTGAAAAAAAAACAGTGAAAACAAAGATAAACAAAGTGTTGTTTTGCTTCAAAACATGTTTTCATTTTTTTTCAAAGATGTTCGTCCAGTCCTGGTTGGATCCGGCAAAGGTTCAGCTCATTGGCTTTAAATTTCCATCGACCTTTGGAAAATTGAACTCGCAAGCGACCTTGGGAGACCTTGATTCCGACCACTTGTCCAAGCTCTCCCTTTTTCACATCGTCATCATGATTCTGCCACTTCACAAAGGCACCCAACTGCAACTCAAGAGCAATCAAGGTGTCGACCTTGAAACTCCAGGTGTCCTTGGAAAACGCAACCCTTACTTTGCCAGAGTCATTGATTTCTCCTGGGTCGAACAGGGCCAAAGTTGTATTTGAAACTTCACACTCGGATTCTGAAGCTTGAAGGTTGTACTTTGAAATCTATCGAATAAGGGTAGGAAGAAGGGTGATGTAATTATATATAAATTAAATAGGTGATTCTGGAAACTAGACACAACATGTAAGTCCATGTGAATTCCCCAGCGACTATACCGACTATACGAATGATAAATGCATTGCAAACTTGAGCAAAATCCTCTTGATACGATGTGTCGAGAAATCCACACGTGTAGATTTCAAACAGAACTATGAAAGAAAAGAAACAAACGTAGAGAATCAGTTCAAGTCTCCAAAAGGAATGAGCCTTGACAAATTTGACAAGAAGAAAACAACCTGTCTTTTAACCTTTGGACCTTGCAAGCTTCAACCGGTGCAGGACGTTTGCCAATTACTGGTTGGGAAAACAAGGGATAAGCTATCGGATAAGTACTTCAAAGTGTATAGACCATTCATGACCATTCCATACGAAGAAGGTCAGAGTTTTTGTGAATTTTTCGCCTCTGTCCTGTTGCTTCTCCGATCTCTCCCACTGCGATGTCATCATCGCTCGAAGTCCATTGGACGTAGGAACCCGGCTGCACATGGCTCTTCACCAAATCTTTGGGCCTGAAACGCCACGATCCGTTGGGAAATTTCACCTTCACTTTGCCCTTCTCATTCAAGTCGGCAAGCACTTGTCCCAAATGGCCAGAAGGTATATCATCATCCGACTTCTTCCAGAAAGCAAACATGCCCACCTGCAAGTCGCACTTGAAGAGGTACTTGGGCTTCACATGTTTTTCCTCACCTTCAATTTCTATCAACAGCTTCCCATCCTCCTCCCCGCTCAAGCCTTTCACTTCTCCCAGCATTTCATCTGATAGCCCATCATCCGTCAAGTGGACATAAGTGCCTTTTTGGAAATCCGACACATTGAGTTTGGCAGCAGAGATCTTCAGCTGTTTCTTGGGAAACTGCACCACGCAATCCTCACCATCTAATTCAAGAACCTCCCCGATGCTGCCGCGTGGAACATCCTCGTCTTGAGACATCCAGTAGGCAAGGGTGCCCTCCTTGATACTGTCCACATGGTCGTCAGGTAACTCCGGCATGGCTGATGCCACTTTAAGATCTTTAAGGTGAGCTATCACAAGGTGATGATGGTGATGTAACAGGGAGCCGGTCTGGGATGATATGCTGCCGTGATCTGCCGTGTATATGATGTGCGTTACAGAAAAAGATACCGTTGTTTTGAGATGTTTTGAGCGCAAAAAATGGCTTTGAAGCATGGCAGAAATGCCTTGGCAGCCTCTGAGTGACACCAAATGCATCAGGAAGTGTCAATTCAGCACCAAAAATATTCTTCTTGTCAGCACTTGCGCTGATTCCACCAACAGAACGTCTGGGCAGTTCTCTTTTATCTTTGGGGTGAAGGATCAAAAAAAAAAGCGCATCAAAAAAAATACAGTAACCCAAAAGCATCAAAAAAAATAAAGACGCATCAAAAAGAAAATAAAACACATTAAGAAACAGGAAAGGAAGAGAGATGGAATGTCGTTGAATGACACAAAAAGCATCAAAAAAAATAAAAACGCGTCAAAAATAAAATAAAACACATTAAGAAACAGGAAAGGAAGAGAGATGGAATGTCGTTGAATGACACAATAAGCATCAAAAAAACACAACAAAAAAACACATGAAGAAAAAGGAAAGGGAGAAAAGACGTAATTATAAAACATTATAGAATCGGAATCAATCGAATTTACTGAAACTGTAAGTATGGATTTGAAGGATAGCCTCCCAGTTCTAAATTCCGCTAGAAAGCAAACAACCAAGAAAATCAAGAAGGGCACATCACAGCTTCGAGTGCATAACTTGAAAGAGCTGGCGGCACGGCAGGTGGGTGTACCTCTGTCGCGCCTTGCTAGTTTGTTTCTCCTCACACGTCATCGAGTTTAGTGGCTCATCACAATAGAGACACCATAGCGATCCATAGCGGCTTAGTATTTCAAAAAAAATGAGTGTGAAACAGTAGAGTTTTGCTTCCTTTCACATCAGCTACTGCTACAAGCTGGAAGATGGACCAATGAATCAGAATATGAATAAGAATACTAGTGCTAGATAGTGCTAGTATGAAAAACATACTGTCAGAGGCAAGAAATGGCAGGAAATGGCAAGAACAAGACTCGCAGATGACCAGCTGTGAGCGGTACACCAGCGGTACATGCTACGGCTCCATATCGAAGCCACCCACATGAACGGCACCCGTTGAGCAGCACTGCTCACCTACAGATGCATTGACAGATCAATCGCATATCTGATGCACTGAGTCATGCAATGACATCAATGAGTCGGCAATGAGTCGGCAATGAGTCAATGCCGCTGTTCGTATCATCGTCAGATCATTATTCCATGGGATTCCGGTGATTTTGACTCCGGAAATTGGATCAAGATCAAGCAATATGAAATAATATGAAGCAGGGATAAGCAGGGATCTTTTCATATCCCGTTCCAATTTCTCTAGCAAAATGATTTGGACATCTTCGCACAAAGCCAAACTGCCATTGATTTTGCATAAGCCTGGCTTTCATTCAACTGTCTGCAGGCCTACAAAGCATTTGATGGATGACCTTAGGAAAAACACGTTGCGCTGGCTTGAACAGCGGGGGAAGTCGGCGTTTGAGACACAGCGATGCCACGGTATATTGACTTCACATGGGGTAAACACTGGAAAAAAAACTGTTGACTGCTGGAAAAAGAATTTAAGGTTCACCCCTACTCTCCACACTGAGAAAAAAACTTAAGACACTGGAAAAAAAAACCTAAGAATCTGCAGCTGAAATCTCTTACTTGTACAATATGTGCAGGGTTTGGGCACTTGAACATGCAATTGCATGATATTTAAAGAGTTCTGGCCTTGAATAATTCAATTTTGTGCAGCTGAAATCTCTTCTTTTTAGAATATTTGCAGGGTTTTAGAACTTAATTATGCAATTTGCATGGTATTTAAAGCGTTTTGGCCTTGAATCCCTTGTTTGCACCTTGCTCGCAGCATCTTGGAGCCAGCATCTGTACTACGCAGGGGATTATCTGCAGCGTTATTTGCGGCATATTGTCTAGAGTTAGTTTTTGGATCTATTTCAGGTTGGTTAGGGTGTATTTGGGAGATCAAAGGATGAGAAGGGTAAAGGACCAGGATGAGGAGGGGTAAGGGACCAGGGGATCAAGAGGACCCAGGGACCAGGGGACCAAGGGACCAGGGGACCAAAAGACCAGGGGACCAGAGGACCAAGGGACCAGAGGACCAGGGGACCAAAGGACCAGGGGACCAGGGGACCAGGGGACCAAAGGATCAGAGGAACCTGAAATTGTTGTTCCCGTAAATTCATTTTTTTTTCCAGGGTCTTAGATTTTTTTCCAGGAAACTTAGATTTGTTTTCCAGTATCATCCCCTTCGCATGACTTCATTGAATTTTTGGAAACTCTGCTAAAACATCTGGGCTCCCTCTCTCTCTCTCTCTTTCTCTCTCATCCGGGTCCATTCCACTCTGATGTGACCAAGTTGCGTCTTGCCCGCACCATTGTGGCCCAGGAGGCCAAACACCTCCAGCAGTGATATCCAGTGCCAAAAGTTCACACTGTTCGCATCACTGGACCCTGCCATCACTTGATGTGATGTCACTTGCTGTCTCTTCTTCGGTCTCTTCGGTTGCAGTTGAAATCAGTTGAACAAAAAATCTCGGAAAGCACTGGTGGCACATCGTGGCACATCGTGGCACCTCACCAGAATGAATTGCGAAGGAGACTCCTGGCACGGCTGGGCTGTGGGCAGCTGTGTCCTTTGGGGACAAACCGACAAACCTGCCATGTTTTGATGACATCAGAATAGACATGCCGTGAACAGAAAAAACTGCCGGCAATCTGAACGATGGAGAACTGGTTTTACACCACCTTTCCGGCTGTCCCACGGAGATCCATTTTTCCCAACTGAACCAAGATCTGGTGCATTGGCCGATGCCAGGCAATTCCCAACGTCGCTTGCGACATTGAAATAATCGGCAGGCTTGATCACAGGATTCTTGGATACTAAGTCTGATGGAGGTAAAGACGTTTGACTTTAACCATGTCCACAATGTCCGCTCAAGGTCTTGCCATATAATTTCATATAATATAATATAATATAATATAACATAATATGATATAATACAATATACGATACAATATAAGATACAACATAAGATACTATAATATAATATAATATAATATGATATAATATGATATGATATAATCTAATATGATATAATCTAATATAATATAATATTATATTATAATATAATATATTATAATATAATATACAATTATAATATTATGATATTATAATATTATAATATTATAATATCAACATATTATAATATTGTAGTATTATAATATCATAATATTATATTATATATGATAATATAATATAATATAATATAATATACAATTATAACATAATATACAATTATAATATAATATACAATTATAATATAATAATATTGTAATATTATAATATTATAATATTGTAGTATTATAATATCATAATATATATTATATATCATAATATAATATATAATAGTATAATATGTCAGTATCCTCATTTGCTTGACAACAGGAAGATGTATGTTTCAGAGTGAGTCGTTGCAATCAAATGTAGTGATGCGGTGTAATCTCGTCCCCAAACCATCCTACACCCTGGGACTGGGCACTTTGGACCAGCAAATGGCAGAAAACGTTTTTGTTTCCAGCATTTTGGCACTGCCGACCCGACCAAGCTTGGATTTTGCGTCGAAAAGTCTGCCACTTGACATACTGCCATTGTGTTGCAAGTCGGAGAATGAGGATTCCCTTAATTTCGGGGGTTGAAAATGCGAAGTTCATTCTGGTTTCTGGCAGGTGTCAAACAGATCATCAAATTGCATCAAAAAAACATGGCAAACATGGAAAAACTCGGAACGCGCAGAAAAAATGCCGAGAAAGCTTTGGAAAGCCTCGTTGCGAGTTCGTCGCGAACTGCTGTTCCTCAAATCGCAAAATCTCTGATCCTTAACTGGTATTGCTTTCGGCCAGCAATAGACAAACACTTCTTCCATATTTTTATTTGGTATGCAGGTCCAGAGGCTGAAAAAAAATGAAGAAATAATGGAGAAAAGCTGCACAACACACCAAAACCCTACTTGTTTGATACAGTTGAAGACATTTGTCTGGTGCTTCCCCTGGTCCTGCATGTGCTATCGTCCTACTGTGGCCAAACTCATAGAAGCACTCACAAGTTCACAAGGCCACAAGGTGCCTCAGAATCTGAACACATTGGCTTGTGTTTGTCATTAGTATTCATTGATATTCATTGATATTCACTGATATTCACTGGTACATACAAGAAATTTTTAGAATCCTGAGGAATCCATACTTTCATCATCATCATCTGTCATTTGTATGTAAAATGACGTGAAATAGCGAGGGAAATCTAAGGTGGCAGATTTGCGACACACTGGCAGCAATTTTGTCAAGATGTCCTGCTTGACATCATTCTGAGGTCTCAACTTCTTCGCTACTTACGAAAGATGCAACCTCTGAAAGCCTCGGAAAATCAACGACAGGTTTGAACATGACCTCATTGTGAAAATGTGAAAATGTTCTGTTTGGCATGATCAATATTCAGACTTCCCACCTCATAGCCCACAGCGATGATCTCATTGACGATGTCTTGGAAGAATGACTGAGGCCTGCTTGGGACAACGCCGTACGAGTACAGTCTACCAATCTCTGCAAGAGTGAGCAACTCAAGCCCTCCAGGACCCTCCAAAGCTCTGATCCCCACTCCAACACATCCAATACTCCAAGGAAAAAATGATTTTAGTAGAAGAGTTGCAAAGAATCTAAGAAGTAAGAAATGCATAGTGTTTTGCGGAGAATATCCAACAAATAGAACAATGTGGTTGGCAATTTCGGCTCGATCTCATCCGCCTGGGAGAAGTTGCACCTGTCGATGATCCGATGGGATCTTGACACCAAAAGGAGTAGACTCGAACAAATACACCAGATACTACTAGTTACTACCAGATACTACCAGTCAGGT